GGGACGTCCAGTTCTTGGTAATGTCACTGTTGTGTCATATTTTCTCCACTTGACAATGACTTTCTTCACTTACAGAGACTGCCTGAATACTTTTTGTCCCCATTTACTTTCCAACAAGGTAGGCAATTTAGTTGAAATACAAGAAAACAAACAAATTCGTCTGTTTGAGCACTTACGACAAAAGCCTGGACTACAGTATGTCAATTTAGCCAACTCTTTGCAGGTAAATTAGCTTAGTTTAGGACTGCTGCTGGCAGGGTAGCTCAGTGGTTTAAGGACCCTGCTGTGGAGCCAGAGATTGGCAGTTCAATTGATTAGCTTAATTTAGGACTGTTGCTGGCAGGGTAGCGGTTTAAGGACCCTGCTGCAGAGCCGGAGGTTGGCAGTTCAATTCCCCCATGGTGCTTTCCTGGAGGAGAGCGAACCTTTCTAGCCCTGGGCCAGCTGCACAGTCCCAGGGCACCCCAGGAAAAAGGGAATGGTGAACCCCCTTTTGAGGATTCCCTGTCTGGAAAACCCTGAAAAGGGTTGCCAAAAGTCAGAATTGACTTGAAGGCAGATGATGATGATGATGATGATAGTTGCTCAAAATATGAGCTATGTTTGGAGATAGCAAATGTTTCTAGTAATCTAAAGCAGAGAAACATTGGACTTTTGTCCAACTTTTGAAAACAGAGAAGTCCTGAAATGATCTTTGTTTTAATTTTTTTAAGAGATGAAGAAGACCACAGGTACTTTCTCTGATGACCCGTGTCTTCTTTTACTTTCAGGTCCCCGTTTCTTTTGAGGAAGTGGCTGTCTGTTTTACCCAGGAGGAGTGGGCCCTGCTGGATCGGGGCCAAAGGGTCCTTTACAAGGAAGTAATGCTGGAGAATTACCAGACGGTCACATCTCTGGGTAAGGGCTCCTTTCCCTGCGATCTGAGAGACTTGGAAACCCATGGCCAGGTACATTGTTCAAATCCGGGGTGAGCAAAGTGTGGCCCTCAAGGTGTCGCTGGACCACAAGACCCAGAAGCCCTCATCAGCACAGCCCGTGATGAGGAATGCAGTCCAGGGTGGAAGGTGGTGTTTTGCCCGTATTTTGGTTAATTTAAAGCAATCTGTATGAAGAAAGTTCGGGGACTTAGAAAATGACTCAGTTTTTCTCAACTGCTTCAATTCTAGGTGGGCAAAAGGTGGACCCCAGATTGATGATCCCAGATGATTTTCTCTCCTCTGCAATTTTCACTTGTCTATTTTGTAATATTTTGCCAACTTCCTACTTCTCTTGGGTGGTGCGGAACAGAAGGAGGCGACTTTGGAGTCCCTTCCTGTTGGAAGTAAATATTCATGTGATTATTCTTTTTTCTCTCTCTTGTAGGAAGGCCTCTGGTTGCTGTGCCCTCCCTCATCCTGTGGTTGGCAGAAGAGAGGGAGAGATCTCCTCAGGGAAGGGCAGCAGGTGATTGGTTAACATCGCTAATACACTAATTGTTTTTAGCTTTTCATATTGTGTTTTTGATGATGCAAGCTGCCTGGCTGGTTAACTCGGCGGTTTAGGTCTCTGTGGAGCCAGAGGTCGGAAGCTCGATTTTCCCCTCTGCCTCCTGTGAGTAGAGCCAGCTTGTGTGGCCTTGGGAAAGCTGCACAATAACCGGGGCTCTCCTCCGAAAAGCAGGGAAGGGGAAACCATTTCTGAGTATTCTCTACCCGGAATACTCTGAAAACGGTTGTCATAAGTCAAAAGTGACTTCATGGCACATGGGGGGAAGGGAGAAAAGCTGCTGTGTGACCCTCTTTTTTTAGGAGAATGATGTGGTAAAAATATTTTTTAATAAATAGTGGTGAGACCAGATCTTGCCTGGTGCTCCGACTGGATCATTTTGTTTGGGTAGTTCTGTTTGAACGCATTCAAAACAGCACGATTGTCTCCTGCAAGTACCTCTGATGCTTTCATGCTGTATACCTCATGGAGTCCTCATCGTTGCTGTTCTTGAGGGATGCTTGCAGTACCTGCCTCAAGTCTGTACAAGCGTATCCAGAAAACAAGAAATAAAACAAAAAACGTTGAGGCACCTTGAACACCGGACTGTTACATTTCAGTGTGAGCTTTGGTGGTGAGGCACATGAACAACAATCAAACAGGAGAAACAAAAAAGGGGAAGGAAAATGCATCAGGCAGGGTTACCAGAAAAGTCCTCTCTGTAGAACATTTTTTAAAATTGCCTTTTGTGGAGAGGGGGAGAGGGAGTCAGGCCGGAGTTGGTTCCAAAGTAGTGGCAGATAGCAAAGAAGGCCTGGTGGATGATTTCCTGGCCTTCTTTGGAGTGGTTACTTGGAGAAGCATAGCCTGGGAGGACCTCATGGAGCTGATAGATGACCTTGGGAAAAGACATTCCAACATGTAACATTGTCCCAAACCCTAAATACATCAGTTTTCTGTATATACAGATGCATGATTGCTTTCATGCAAGTTCCAACAAGAATGCATTTTACTCTTTAGAAAAATAGTCCTTTTAAACTTGTTCTAGAGCTTATATTTTGACATTCTCCACCTTAGTTGATTCACCCTATTTTTTTAAATTTTAAAACAGAATTTTTTTCATTCCGCTCATGTTGATTTCTCACTTTGTTCCAGAGGGAGATGCCTGGGAGGTAACTAGTGAAAGGCAAGTCCATGAAGTATTGGAAGAAAGCAATATGTGCCCAAAGATGGAGGAGGTGGCGGATAGGAATCAAGATGGACTGAAGAAACAAGAAGGAAACCAGAGGAAGGAGGAGAGGGGCGGTTGCTTCCATGGGGACTTGCATAAAGAACCAGTTCCTCAAGCCCCACTCAGAAGAGAGGGAAGGCTGGAGACCTCTATTGCTAAATCCGCCCCTGTTAAAATCTGGAAAATCCATACCTGGGAGAAACCCTATGAATGTCTCGAATGTGGAAAGAGCTTCGAAGAGCTGAGGACATTAACCTCGCATCAAAGAATCCACACGGGGGAGAATCCCTTTAAATGTTTGGTGTGTGGGAAGAGCTTCAGCCGCAGCACGAACCTCGCCACCCATCAAAGGACACACACAGGGGAGAAGCCCTTCGCCTGCCCGCTGTGTGGAAAGCGCTTCAGCCAGCGTGCACACTTGACCTGCCATCAGAGGAGCCACACAGGGGAGAAGCCCTTTCAATGCCAGGAGTGTGGGAAGAGTTTTATCTGCAGCACAAATCTGACCGCTCACCAGAGGAGTCACACCGGGGAGAAACCGTTCCCGTGCCAGGAGTGTGGGAAGAGTTTTGGCCGGCGGGCGCACCTCCACTCCCATCAGAGGAGACACTCAGGGGAGAGGCCTTTTCTGTGTCCAAAGTGTGGGAAGAGCTTCCACCGGAGTGAAGACCTCACTGTACATCAGAGCGTACACGCAGTGGAGAAACCCTTTAAATGTCTGGAATGCGGGAAGACCTTCAGTCAGAGTAAAAACTTTAACAACCACCAGAGAATGCACAGAGGGGAGAAGCCTTTTCAGTGTCCCGAGTGCGGAAAGAGCTTCATCCGCAAAGAGGCCCTAATCTCTCATCTCCGAATCCACACAGGGGAAAAACCCTATAGCTGCTTAGAATGTGGGGAGCGCTTCAGAGAGAGCCAAAGCCTCACCTATCATAAAAGAATCCACACAGGGGAGAAGCCGTTTAAATGCCAAGAATGTGGGAAGAGCTTCCGCCAGAGCTCAAGCCTGATCAACCACCAAAAAATCCACACAGGAAGGAAAGTGTATAAATACCTTGAGTGTGGAAATATTTTCAGGGAGTCTCAGCATCTTGTCCCCTACCAGAGAATCCAAACAGAGGAAAACCCTTAACCGAAGGGGCCTCATACATACATACATGTTTCTTTTGAACAAGGGTGCAGGGTTGCATTACATGCACAAGTCCCCCTCACATACCTTTGCTCTTTTTACATAATTCCAGTCTTAGTGACTATACCTTAATGTCCAAAGCTCACTTTTCACAACCACTGTGAACAATGCTGTAAACCTATGCATTTATATCAACAGGTGTGACCGGAAGAGAGTTAGATATCGGAAGGAGAACACAGGAGAGGTCAGAGGGGAGCACTGTGGTCTCCTACGAGACCGATGTCCAGGGCCGACCCTACCATTAGGCAAGCAAGAGATGGAAAAGAAAAGTGAGAAGATTACACACAAGCCAGAGGGGAGAGAGAGAGAGAGAGAGAGGCGGGCTCATTTCAGAAGGGGCCAAGTTGTGAGGTGAAGACAGAAGAGGCCTGGCTTCAAATTTTACTAATTTTGTTAGGGAACTAATTAGGCCTAATTAATTAGGCCTAGAGTGGTCCTGAGTTGACTAGATAGGCGGGATATTTAAATAAATAAGTGGAAGCAGAGGGATCTTCTGTATTCTGTTCAAGTGCCAGTGGAATGGAGTATGGTAAAAAAAATCTTCCGTTGAGTAAAAAAATTATTCGACTGTCTCAAAATTTCTTTTGTTTGAATGAACGACTCTCGGCTTCTGTTATGTTGTAATTCCCCCCCAATGGTTCATAAAGAAGTTTGTCTACAGTTTTTATGAACACTTCTTAATATTAGAGAACATTCTGAGAGACTGGATGGTTGCACATCCAGATCTTTATATCCTGCCCATCTAGTCATTCGACTACTCTGGGCAGCGTACATCATACAAAAATAAACAATTAAAATAACATCAGTGTCAAGAATAAAAAGTCATTCAAGATGGAAAAACAAGAAGATAGATCAAATAGTGCCCGGAGGGAAGGCCTGCCTGAATAGCCAGGGTTTTAATTGGTTTTTAAAAATACCCAGCAAGGGGGGCTGTACGGATCTCTGAAGGTAGATTATTCCATAACCGAGGAGCGACTGCCGAGAAGGCCCGGTTTCTTGTTTTTTGCTTCCGGGCCTCTCTCGGCGTTAGGCTCCTCAGTTGCACCTCTTGGCTAGATTGAGATACGGGTAGATTTTGGTGGGAGAAGGCGTTCCGTCAGATAGTGAGGTCCTAAACCATTTAGGGCTTTGTCATCATTAAAACTTTGAAATCGATGCAGAAGCGCTCGGGCAGCCAATGTAATGTGGCCAGAGTGGGAGAGATATATTGATGTTTCTTCACCCCACTGAGAAGTCTGGCTGCTGCATTCTGCATCATTTGAAGCTTCTGCATTAATCTCAAAGGCAGCCCCACGTAGAGCGGATTGCTGTGGTCTAATCTCGAGATTACAAGCACGTGGACGAGAGCAGTGAGGGACCCCCCATCAAGGTAGGGTCGCAGCTGGGCCATCCGCCACAGATGTAGGCGGTGCGGACCACGGACGCCACCTGGGTTTCCATGGTGAGCGCCTGGTCCAGATGGATCCCCAAGCTACAAACTTCACTCTGTGGTGAGAGTCAGCTCCCCAACTGATAGGGAGTTTCCCAAGCCACCAATGGAGGGGCCACCCACCCTCAGGACCTCTGTCTTGTCCGGGTTCAGCCTCAGCCCATTTTCCTGCATCCATTGCAGAACAGTCTCCAAGCAGCTGTAGTACATATGCGATTTTCTTACATTTTTTTTAATTTGTAAAGGAAGGATTCGAGATGAAACCCATTAGGGATTGCTTCTGACGGCTAGAATTCGGAGGAGCGAGCCCCCTCTCCCCACAGTGAGGACTTCTGCCATGATGAGAAGTTGCTGCATGTACGTTTGATGGTATGATGGTTTCAATAAATATGTTGCATCTCAGCATCTTATCCCTCAGTAGCCCGCTTCTGGTCAGAGTTAATCTAATTATTTTAACATTTTGTTGTTGTTTTTTTAACTATATACTGTATTTGTTGTTAAGTGCCATACTACCAACTTGCGGCAACCTTATGAATGACTGACCTTCAAAATGCCCTGCCCTCGCTAGTCCTGCTCAGGTCTTGCAAACACAAGCCTGTGGCTTCTTTTAAAGAGTCAGTCTATCACATACTTGGACTTCCTCTTTCCCTGCTGCTTTCCACCTTCCCCACCATTATGATCTTGTGCCCACATTAGGACATAGGCAGGATGGAGAGGCCATCAGTCTCTGGCATGCACAGAATTAACAAAAGAGAATGAAGATATTAGTTAAGAGGCCGAGAGGAGGAGAAGCATATTAAAATCAGGAGAAATTGAGATAGTCCTAGAATCATGGAGTTGGAAGGGGGACTATAAGGCTATCTAGTCCAACCCCCTGCTTAATGCAGGAATGCAAACGAAAACAGATCTGCAGATGGCTGTCCAGTTTTCTCTTGAATGCCTCCAGCGTTGGAAGACCCACCGCCTCCTGAGGTCATGCGTTCCATTGTTGTACTGCTCTAAAAGTTAAGAACTTCCTGAAATCTCGCTTCCTGTGGCTTGAGCCCATTGTTGTGTGTCCTCCACTCCAGGATGATCGAGAACAGATCCTGCCCCTCCTCTGGATGACTAACTTTCAAGTCTTTGAAACGTGCTATCCTATCTCCCCTCAGTCTTTTTTTAAGTCTAAACATGCCCATTTTTTAAGTCCCCAAGAGTTTGGTTTCCAACCTCCTGATCGTTTTTGTTGCCCTCCTCTGAATTTGCTCGTTTGTTGGCATCCTTAAAGTGTGGACACAGTACTCTAGACCAAACCCGTGTTGAATAGAGAGGGACTAGTACCTCACAAGATTTGGAGACTATATTTCGGCTAATGCATCCTAAAATTTGTGATTGTGAGGAAGACTTTGGCTGAGGACTGAATAGATCCTATTGTCTATTGTTATGTTCCGTCCTCTGACTTCTGGTGACCCTATCAATTAGTGATCTCCAAAATGTCCTCAAATGTCCTGCTCAGGTCTTGTAAATAGAAGCCTGGGGCTTCCTTTAGGGATTAAGTCAATCTCTTGTTTGGTATTCCTCTTTTCCTGCTGCCTTCCACCTTTCTCACCATTTTTATATTTTCCAGAGAATCCTGCCTAAAGTAAGACAGCCTGTGTCAATATTTTTGTCTCCAGAGGTCGTTCAGGTTTGATTTGATCTAGGACCCACTTGTTTGTCCTTTACACAGAGTAAGTACATCAATTGCTGGTGGGCTTCATAGACGATTGGGAACAATGGGAGACATTATTTTCAGGAGGAGGGCATGGGAATAACCACTATACTCTCAGATTGAAGGAGAATTCATTCATTCATTCGGACACATGGTGGAAAGGGGTTAGAAAAAAATACAGGCTCATCAGGTGGCCTCTGTTTTATTTGACACAACATGTGTGGAGTTGGAGTTGTCCAAGAGTAGCTGTGTTACTCTATGCAAGCACTATAGGTGAAAACAAAATAATATTTTAAAAAAGAACAAATACTTATTTTTTGTCATTTTGCTTTTACCTATAATTCTTTCACAAGATGCACGTAGCATCCAAACCTGCCCCAAAGCTAGTTCTTAAGGTTTCCTGCCGCTATGGAGACCCCGAGTGATGAGGAGTCCTTCTTCCTGCAAGGAGATGGTTTTCTCCAGCGAAACCTGCATGCTTGGGGCCCTAAGGCAGCTGTTTGGCCAACCGAAAACCACCCGGGATGCCACCTTCTGGGGCAACCCTCCCTGAGTCTGCGCTGCCACGTCGTCTCCCCTTCCAATTCCACACGCAAAGTAAACTCACGAAAGCTGCCACCCAGGGCGTCTCAATGCTCACAATGGCTTATAAAGGTGAAATATTCCAAAGCATGTTCCTATTCATAATGTATAATTTTTAGTGTGATATTTCTTTCATTTTTGAAAATTCTTATTCTTAGATTTTACATATTGTTTTTCAATGATGTAAGCCACGTTGGGTCCTTTTTAAGGAGAAAGGCAGGGTAAAATATTTCATTTAAATAAAGATACAGACCATCCTTCTATAACTGGAGAAAGTGTCCGATTTCTGGCTTAATTCAGCTCATTTGTCTTGCCTGCCTACTACTGTCCACTCCTGATTAGGAATGAAAATGCTCTGGAGTTCATTACCTTAGTTCTACCTGGAGATTTCTGGGATGCCCTGGTATCCTGACCCTGCTGAGCATCCAGAACCAGAGGTATCCAGGGTGCCTTGGTGTAAATGAAGCTACAATTGACTTACTCCTCTCCCCACTGCACCGATAGCACATACACTCGCTTCTGCTTGTTTGAAAGGTATTGAGGAAGAAAGGGGGAAGCTGGTGGATAAACCAAGCAAGATTCAGGGTGTTACAGCCCAGGAAAGCAAAAGGAGGGATTTCTGGACATGGAGGAAGGGCTTAATCTCTTCCTGCTTCTCTTTTATCGGAGGCTGAACCCAAAGAGAGCAACGTGCCTGGAGACCAAACGGGCAACCGCAAAACTTTGTGTACAAAGGCTTGCTGCTTTCTTGACAAACAGGAAAGGAAGAAGCAACTGGTATCATGTAATTTAATTTAACATGTTTCTGTCCTGAGCAGACAAAACGGAGGAAGTGTCAATGTTCCATCGGCACAGGATTTCAAACCATGAAGAGAAATGTACAATAAGACTCAAAAACAAGAGTTCTGTTTGCTTACAGCTGGGGTATGCTCACGTTGTGGGCCCTGGCGACCCCAATCCTCACATCCTTCAGGAGAACGTACAAGAAGATCATTTCAGGCGCATTGAGCCTGTTGACGCCTCCCACCAAACAAAACTAGGGGCACAATTGTGGAATTCAGAGTGACTCCTTTTCTCCAAAATTTTGGATCTGGTGTGACAATCTGGAAGGCCCCTGGGGTCCAAAAATGAGCTCCCTCCCTCAGAAGAAGAAAAAAAAACCCAGGAGCTGTTCATCATGGCTTCTACAAGACCTTTTGAACAGACAATTACATGCCCCTGTCCTGGGGGCCAATTGAGCTTTCTCTGCGGTTTAGGAGCCAGTGGTAGGAGTTCAATTCCCCTACTATGCCTCCTGCGAGGAGAGCCAGCGCAGGTGGCCTTGGGCCAGCTGCACAATCCAAGGGTGCCCCACAGAAGAAGGGAAGGGAAAACCACTTCAGAGTACCCTTAGAAACCCCAGAAAGGGTGGCCATAAGTTACAATTGACCTGATGGTGCGTGATTATTATTCATGTATTCATCACAGGTGATCCCAAATCCTCCCGCATCACAGTTTTCCTCAGATATTTTGAAAACCACCAGCTCCAACAGAAATCCGTGTCTTGCTTTCAGCCATGTCGGTGGAAGCATCCACCACGTTCTGAGCACCAACCTAATTGTCCTCTTTTACAAACAGGTCCTTTATGTGACCTCCATGCATGAGATTCTTTCCTGTGTGAATCTTCTGATGCGTTTTAAGGTGTGTGCTACGGCTATATTTTTTCCCACATTCGGGGCACTTATAGGGCTTCATCCCGGTATGAGTACTCTGATGCCGTCTGAGGGTACTGTTGTCCCCAAAACATTTCCCACATTCAGAGCATTTATACGGCTTCTCCCCCGTATGAATTCTCTGATGAACCGTAAAGCTACTGCTGCAGCTGAAATTCTTCCCACACACTGGGCACTGATAGGGTTTCTCACCCGTGTGAATCCTTTGGTGTGTCTTGAGGTGCGTGTTCCGGCTGAAGTTCTTTCCACACCACTGGCATTTATAGGGCTTCTCGCCTGTGTGGATTCTTTGCCGGGAGTTCAAATCTGTGGTCTTGCCACAGGCATAGGGAGTTTCCATGACGTGAATTCTCCGATGTGACTTCAGAGTCCCTCTGTGGCTGAAACTATCGCCACACTCGGAGCACTTATAGGGCTTCTCCCCTGTGTGGATTCTTTGATGAATTTTCAACATTCTAAGCTGATGAAAACTCTTCCCACACTCCGAGCATCGGTAAGGTTTTTCCCCCGTGTGAATGCTCTGGTGTATTTTCCGGTTGGTGCTACAGCTGAAGCTCTTCCCACACTCCAAACATTTATAGGGCTTTTCACCTGTGTGGATCCTCTGATGTCTTTTAAGGCACGTGCTCCGATAGAAGCTTTTCCCACACTGGAAGCACACGTAAGACTTCTCGCCTGAGTGAATCCTTTGATGGTTTTTAAGGCACGTGCTCCGACTGAAGCTTTTTCCACACTGGAAGCACATGTAAGACCTCTTGCCCGTGTGAAGTTTTTGATGGCTTTTAAGACACGTACTGCGATTGAAGCTTTTCCCACACTGGAAGCACACGTAGGCGTTCTCCCCGTTGTGAAGCCGTTGGTGCTGTTTAATGGTTCGGCTGTCGCTGAAGCTGTTCCCACACTCAGAGCATTTGTACGGCTTCTCCCCCGTATGAATCCTCTGATGTGCTTTAAGGGTTCGTCTACGAATGAAGCTCTTCCCACACGCAGAGCATATGTAGGGTTTCTCCCCTGTGTGAATTCTTTGATGCTCTTTATAGTTCCTCCTACCACTGAAACTCTTTCCACACATGGAGCATTTGAAGGGCTTATCCCCAGTGTGAATCGTTTCGTGGGATCTGAGATCTGCCTTCCGACAGAAGTTCACTCCGCATGTCAAGCACACATAGTGCATTTTGCCTGTAGACAGTCGTCGACAGCCTCTTTGCAAGTTAACGTCTGAGCCAAAACTAAATTGTTTTCCACATCCCAAACATCTATATATATTCTCTCCTGCGTAGGTTCTTTTATGCTTCATATGCAACCTGTGTTTGCATTTATAATGGGTTGGGACATCTTTATGAATAATCTGGTGTGAAAGCCCAAGTTTAAATTTGCATGCGGGTTCAAATCTAGGTTTCACAGAAAGTGTGCCATGTTATAGAAAACCTCCCCCTAATTATTGTCATAATAACAAAAATAATAGCATGCCATCAAATCATTTCTGTCCTACGGTGACTCTTTCCAAGTTTCTCCAGGTAGAGAGTACTCAGAAGTCGTTTTCCCTTTCCCTTCCTCTAGGGGGAGCTTCCCATTACCTGAAAAAAGAAAAAAGAAAAGAAATCCGATCAAGGAGGAATGGATGCTCAGATGAAGGGAGGGAAGGACCCCCCTCCCCAAAATTGGTGGTTTTACTAAATGAGGAGAAAGTATTTTGCAAGAAAGCAGATTTTCTTCCCAAATACATTAGGGAGCCTGTCATGATCAACAGAACAGACAACCAGAGGGGTCCACCAAGCAAATTCATTTTCTCTATGTGGTGAACACATGGAGATTGATCTTTAAGCCAGGATCATATCAAAACAAACATCTCCTTTAGGTTTTATCAGAATAACAGACAAAATGGGGAGAAGATAGATAATCCTGTCATCATGGAACAACGTGGCGAACAGACTAAAGAAAATATTTCTTTACCGAGTGTGTTGTTAGTCTGTGGGACTCCTTGTCACAGTATGGGGCGATGGCATCTGGCCTAGGTGCCTTGAAAAAGGGGATTGGACAGATTCCTGGAGGAAAAGTCCATCGCAGGTGACAGGCCGTGATGATGGGGATTTATAATCTCCAGGCTTAAGTACAAGCCACGATGGCGGGGATGCACAATGTCCAGGCTTAGAAGGAAGGGACCTCCAAAAGCCAGATGCAGGGGAGGGGGATCACAAGACAGTGATATCTCGTGGTCTCGTGTGCTCCCAGAGGCATCTGGTGGGGGCCCCTGTGAGATCTAGGGAGATGGACTTAGATGGGCCCTTGGCCTGATCCAGCAGGGCTTCTCTTAGGTTCTTATGAACTGCTAGAGAGCTCAGTGGCTTAAGTATCTTCCTGCAGAGCCAAAGGTTGGGACAGGTCTTGGACTCAGTGATTCACAGGATCCGTTCCAGCTCTGGCGTTCTAAGATTATTAGTAGTATTATTACTAGAGGGAGGATTTCTATGACATGTCATTTTTTTTATGCAACCTGTGTTTGCATTTATAATGGGTTGGGACATCTTTATGAATAATCTGGTGTGAAAGCCCAAGTTTAAATTTGCATGCGGGTTCAAATCTAGGTTTCACAGAAAGTGTGCCATGTTATAGAAAACCTCCCCCTAATTATTGTCATAATAACAAAAATAATAGCATGCCATCAAATCATTTCTGTCCTACGGTGACTCTTTCCAAGTTTCTCCAGGTAGAGAGTACTCAGAAGTCGTTTTCCCTTTCCCTTCCTCTAGGGGGAGCCCTGGGACTGTGCAGCTTGCCCAAGGCCACCCAGGCTGGCTCTTCTCCCAGGAAGCACAAGTGGGGAATCAAACTCCCAGCCTCTGGCTCCACAGGCAGAGACCTACATCGCCAAGCTACCCCACCAACCAACAACAGTAAAGGCGTAGTATAAACAATAAATTACATGAAGATGAAGGAGGAGTTACAAGGTGACTACTTTTATACAAGGCTTTGAGATCGGCTGACCAAATGATGTGCTACATCAAATAAGGAGTGCTTCACGTCAGAATTAGCGTGGGGAAGTGAACCGAGTGACGTCCTAGGACTTACCCATGAGTCAGATGTAGCCTGACGACACATAACAAAAAAACATTTAAGATACTCTGCCTTTTTGTTTGTTTGTTTGTTTACACAAAGGCATGGGCGGGAATTGTGTAGCCTGTCCAGGCTCCCAAGCATCCCCCTTGGAAAAAAAAGCCATCGTTTGGCTTTAAAAAAAAAGGAAAATAACAGCACCCAGAATTCTCCAGAGGATCTCTCTCATTTCTTCATTTTAACACTATTTTCCCCAACATACACCTTATCTGGGCTCCAAATAGATTTCCCCCCTCAAAACTGGAAAAGACCACATGGACACTTCTGGCTTTGAAAATGAGGCCTTTCACTCACCAGAAGGAAAAAGGAGGAATTTCTTTTCCCCCTTCAAGAAAGTCTTTTAAAATAGAGAATCTTTGGGGGTGCTTTGGAGCCCTCAGGCTATTGTGGGACCGCACATCGCCTGCCCCTGTTGTAAGGTACGGAGAGGGAGTTTTACCTAGAGCAGCCAAATTCTTGTGGTTTTCCTCCATGACTTCCTTGTGCAACGCTCGTTGGTCCGGATCCAGCAGGGCCCATTCCTCCTCAGTGAAATACACAGCCACGTCCTCAAAGGTGAGGACAAGGGTCTGGGGGAAAAAAAAGGAAATGTGTATTTTTCATCAAACTCAGAGCTTGTCCAGCAGACAGCTTTCAGAGAAGATAGGAAGAAAGAAACAGACTTTTTATGTCAAGGTGGGTAAAATGAACGAGGCAGGTCTCCTTTATTAGGAGAAAGGTGGTCAATCAATCAATCAATCAATCAATCAATCAATCAATCAATCAATCAATCAATCAATCAATCAAACAAACAAACTGAATTCCTTTTTGTTTGGGCTCTAAATCCTAGGATTCTCCATTCTGGGAGTTCCGCCTCCCAGACAGACTGCTAAATTGTGCTCGCCTGGAATAAGGCCAGGCTGCTAGGCCTCATGCGCCAGGAGAGGCCAAGTTCCCCAGAATCACTTTTCCTATAGCAAATGTAGGCCTGACCTCGACCCCGTCCTAAACCATGAGGGCTTACAGCCCAGCCCTCTTCCAAGTGAGTGTAAATTAGGTGTCTGTCTGGCAAATAAAGCTCCTAGAATGGAGAATCCTGCAGCTTAGAGACCAAATAAAATGGAATGCACATGTCTGAAGTCTTCCTGGTTTTTGGGATTACCTTCCTTACTACTGGCTAATTTTGATGAGAGGTATCCATTTTGGTGAGCCGGGCTTTGCTTGTTCCACTTTAAGCCCAGGGTGGGAAAACTCTTCCTGAGCAGAAAACCAAGTCCAATGGTTAGTCTTGAGGTTGGCATGAGGGATGGACAGATTCATGTGTTTTGGACTACATCTCCCAGAATTCCACAGGCAGCAATCACGGCATATGACACTGGGGGAGCTGTAGTCCAAAAAAACAACAACCAGATCCTGGTTCATGTTCTCATTGTGGGCAGGGCCAAAGGGAAAGGAATGGGGCCAAAAATAGGAGCAGCCTCTTTTAGCTTTAAACACAGGCCAACAGGACGGATGCAGAGGCTCTCGCCCTTTCAGTGGTGGGCCAAGGACATTGATTTAATGGGATGATAGTGGCAGATTCTACTCCAAACTTTACAGGAGGCCGCCAATGTTCCGAAGTCTACCCCTACCCGCCAAAAATACATTCAGGATCTTGAATTGCTTCTTTCAAGTTCGTATTAAAACCTGGAACAAATTCGCCATCTCTGAAAAGTCCAAGCTACAAGTCTAGCCATTTCCGGTCTCTCCAGGTAAGCCTTCCATACCTGTAGTGGCTTCACAGCGGCTGTTTCCACCCCACCAAAAAGAGAAGAAAGCCTAGAAGAATGCCAAAGCCTTGTTTCACTATTGCTGGTCATCGTTTCTTTTCCTATGAAGAAGATAAAAATGTCAGAAGATACAGTACTCCAGATTTCATTTCATTTCATTTCCTTCCATCCATCCATCCATCCATTTCGCCTAGAGTGATCTGGTAGTCCAGATAGGCGGGGGGTATGTATGTATGTATGTATGTATGTATGTATGTATGTATGTATGTATGTATGTATGTATGTATGTATGTATGTATGTATGTATAAATACATTGAAAGAAAACAAATTTATTTCATGATACTTTTGCACATAATGAACAGGTCGGCAACTTGCAGCCCTCCAGCTGCTGCTGGCCTACAGCTGCTCCCTCAACCGCTGGCTAGAGCCAATAAGAATCACAGTCCAGCAACTTGAGGTGGACCACCAGTTGCCCACCCTTGGCATAATTTTCTGGCTTTAGATGTATGCAAACTCTCGATGAACAGAAATACAGCCCTTTAAAAACAATTCACAGGGGCCTGATCGGGAAGTTTCTCCCCTGACAAAGCTCCAGGGAGAACCCAAAAACCAACTCATAGATTGGAGGCATATTCATAGAAGGTGAAGGCAGCGGGAAAAGAGGAAGACCAAACAGGAGACGGATTAATTCCATAAAGGAAGCCATGGTCTTGGGTTTGCAAGAGCTCGACAGGGCAGTGGCAGAACATAACAAAGAAAAACATTCATAGAAAGGAAAATAGATTTGATACGTCCGTGTATTTCGGTGTGTGCGTGGGGAAATTGGAATCTATCCCCCATAAATACCATGGTCCTATGACTTTGACACTTAAGTCTTGAGTACTGTACTATACTAAGCCTTACCCAGGGAGGCAGTGTCTCCATCACCCTCACGGACAATCCATCTGAACACAACCCTCTGCCTGGCGTCTGAAGGAGCATCCTCTCCTTCCTGGAAATGTGTGTCCACCTTGGCTACTGTTCCCTGGACCTAGAATGAAGAGGAGCCCAGGCAAGAAAAGGGACAGAAACATGAGGAGAGAAATATGTTGCAGAGCTTTGAATTTCTGGTTAAATCCCTCCAGCTGAGCAGCAGAAGTGCCGGGATTCACAGAGCAGAACAGCTTCTA